ACTGTTCCAGATACATTGTCTCAGGCAGATGGGTGAGGTCTCCACCAAAAAACTGGGGCTCTGGCAAAGTGGCAATAGGGTCTATTAGTATGGAGTTCAGGTAGTGAGTTCTAGAACCATCCTCGCATCTTTCTTTTATTAAGAACTCCCCCTTACATTTTATAAACCAGAGAGCACACAAGTGACGTAATTACCCCAAGCCAGAAGTAACCTACTGCTTACAAAAGTTACAGTAACTATGTTAAGTTTTCTTTACAAATCAATGATAAAAAAAAAAAAAAAAAACTTAAGGTTGGAATAGAGCATTTCAAAGAAGAAAACTTACAGCGCCCGGCCCTTCTGTCGATGGGCCACCAACAAAAGCCATAATCCTAGCTCCTGATCCAGGAACGCAAGCACCCAATACATGGGCAGCAATACTGAGCGCTGTGCCAGTACATCTACTTGCCCTCTGATCTGAAGGTACTCCCCAAGGATCCTTTTGAAGCTCCTCTAACAGCTACACCCACCCGATCACAAATACATCAGCAAGAAGTCAATAGCAGCAAGAGAGAAACAACAATCAGATTCAATTAATTCTGCAACAGCAGAATCAACACAACAGCTACGAAGCAAGAAACAAGCCTCCCACGTATAATATTGGACCATTCAAATATAAATGTATGCATGAATATACATCTTATATTAGTAAAAGTACACTGCAAACTCTATGAATCAAAAGTCATAATCATTCATTCAATTCTGTATCAATAACAGTGTTTTATCAACATCATCAAATCATTCATTCAAACCAAACACACATTTATCAAACATAAGATATCAACAAACATGATCAAGAGCTATACCGAATTCAACGTAAATTCGCACTCGGAAGCAGGCAACAAGAACCTCGCAATGCTTTCAGGAGTCAAACCATCCCTAACACCAGCAACAACCCCAGCAGCCGGTTTCAGCTTCCGATCAAAAAAATTCAATTGCTCCATCACCTTATCTTTACTAACCTCCTTAGACCCTTTAAACACATAACACTTAGGAATCCCACTACCCCCACCAGAAAACCCTAATTCATGAACTTGAACAAAACTCCCAAATGTAATAAACCCAATTAAAGCATCATCCGACATCAAATCCAACGCCTGAGACAAAGCCAATTTCAAATACCCAATTTCCTCCTCAATCAAACAATTATCAACAACAAATAAATAAACTAAAGGGGTATGATTCTGGGCGTGCAATTCAGGGGGAGGTTCATATTCAATTGTTGTGTATTCTGGGAATAATTCAGCAGGAAGATTAGCATCAGAAATCGAAGCGTAATGTTGGGGAAAGTGATTTCGATTGAAACAAAAAGGGCAGATCCAGATTTTGGCAGAGTAATCGATAACAGAAAAAGGGTTGAGAACTGATCGACAAGAACGACATCGAAGAGGAGAGTAAGGGAGAATTGGAAGATTAGGGAAGGGTTTTAATGGAGTGTAGAGAAGAGAAACTGGGATTACAGAATTGCTTGATTCTTGTTTTGTGCCTGGGATTACATTCCATGGCATTCGAACTCCATCTTTTGCTTCTAGGTCTAGGAATTCCGCCATTGTTGGAGCTTCAAGGTGATGATGAAGATGGTGATCTTGAAGATGATGATCACTGTAAACTGTGATCAGTGTGAAGGAAAAACTGGGAATTGATGAGTGTTTTTGAGGAGGGTGAATTTCTTTCTGTTAAATGTTTCGAGTTTTTGACAAGAATGCAAGTGATCAAACTGATCAAATGTTTCTCCACTCACTTTCGGTTTTTTTTTTTTTTTTCAACAAAACATGTACTTAAGGCAAGGACAAAAATAGAAAGGCGCCATATTGGTTATCGCTCTCATTTTGATTAATTGCAACACTTTTCATATTCATTTGTGTAGATTGAAAAGTAATTACAACTTTTGTTTAAGTGAGGTGATATCCTTGTTCATTTTTTGAAAGTAATGAGAAGGGTAAGAGATCTCCACCCTCAAAGCATTCTTTATGAAGATTAAACCCTTAACTTTAAGGTTGGAAGGTATAATTTTTTTCACTGGAAGGAAACTATATACCCTCATGAAAATATGAAATACACATACTAATTGCTTCATTATACTGTTTATATCTACTTTTACACTATAATAACAAAATCAATTACTCACACTCTAAGTGTCCCACATTATGTGTTCAAACTAATGTTGAGCTTGTCTAATAAGCACAAAATGAATTGACTTACAATATTACCCGTACTACTTTGCTCGTTGTTTATCCAAGTTATAGTATCCATTATGATTGTTGGGAAATCTCCAACCTGGGGCGTATTCTACAATAATTTTATTAGATTCAAATTATCTATGGCAATATGAATACTGGCCATAGCGCAACCTAACTTGAATTAATGTGACTGTGTTTTCGTTAAGTTATTCAGAATTTGGTTAAGTTGCCATATATATTTGGAAAATTTAACAACAACGAACCAACTTTTGCTCCATTTTCCGAAAATGGATCAACCTTTAAATCTGCCCAAAATAAACCTAAGTTTCTAATTTTTTTCCCATATTAAACTAAGAAGGTAAGTTGACTTGTTATAGCAGGTTGCAATCCACGCGTCATCTCCTCATTGGATAATTATTTTTTAAAAAAAAAAATTCTAATAATTTAAATAAATTTTTTATTTTTATTTTTAAAATTTTGATAATTAAAAAAAAAAAAATCTCTCTTTCCCCACCACTGTCAGCGCCCCTCCTCCCCACTGCCACCCTTCCCCTGCCGGCGGCCGGCGCCGACGACCACCTCTCTTCCTCTCTCCCACTCACGGTAGCCCAATTTTCCTCTTTCCCCATTCCCGTTGCCCCCGACACCACCCCTTTTCCCCAAACTGAAAACGGCCTATACACCACCCCGAGGTGGGACTTATTTATCAATCTGAAAGAACAGACTTGTAGCATTAGGCATTCAGCTCTATAGATTATGTTGAGTAGGTGACTTGACATCAAATTTTAATGTTGATTTCTTAACCTAGTTATTCATAGCAATTGAACATTATTCTTGGGTGAAAGAGAGAGGACTGAGATTTTGTAACAGTTACTAAACGTTGCTTATCATGTTGCCATCTCCCAGAGTCCCGATCTCTCACCATTGCTGTCCGAACAGACCATAGCCGCCGGCAGGGGGAGGGAGTGGCTGGCAGTGGAGTGGGGGAGGAGGGGCTGGCAGTGGGGTTAAGGGGGTTGGTTTGATTTTTTTTATCTTTTTAAAAAAATTCATTTTATTTCATTTTGTTAATTTACGAAAATAATGAAAGGAAAAAAAAAATGACCAGTTGTTCAGGTCACAAGTAATTTGGGTTTACTGATAGAGAAAAAAAAAATGCAAACTTAGGGTTATTTTGGGCAGATTTAAAGGTTGGTGTATTTTGGGAGAACGCAGTAAAGATTGGTGCATTCTTCTTCAATTTTCCTAGATATTTTCTTAAAGTGTACCTACTTCCACAGGTACATTGTTGAAATTATCGTAATTTCTTTTAATGATGGAGCAACAACAATTATTGTTTATCATCGTCACATCTTTGGCATCTTGGTTGCTATGTACATATACTAGGTTCATTTACCTTTACTTCTAAAGGCATACAAACTTATAACACGCGTTTTAAAAACTATAAGTGTCACATGGCAAATATATCATTAAACATGTCACGTCATTTATTTAGTTATGAATGTTTTAACAATGATAGACATGTTTATCACATAATAGTGTTTGAGCTCAAGACTAGCAAGAAATGAATTAGAAATCTTACTATCTAATTTAACTATTGCTTCAAACAAAACTCAAATATATTTAGGGACCGTTTGGTTCGCACGGGGTAATCGGAATGGAATGAACAAAGGGAAAGAATCGGAATGGAATGAAAAACCCCCAATTTTGCTATGTTGTTTGTTTTGAATAACAAAGGGAAACAAGCCACCATCCAACCACCATACCACCATTCCACCAACCAGCCAATAACACCACCACCTCCACCAGTCAGCCACCTTTTTCCCCTTCCCCTTCCCCTTCGCAGCCGGCGCACGGCACAGATTCACCACCACCTCCACCAGTCAGCCGCCTGAAACTCGCATCCCCCATCCCGCCTGAAACCCGTAACCCATCTTCAACCCCTTTGGCTGAAATTCGTAACCCATCTTCAACCCCTTTGGCTGAAACCCGTAACCCATCCCATCCCTCACCTGAAACAGCACCGACATCCAGTTCACATCACGCCCCTCCCCTTTCAATTACACTTGCTGATTCCGACGTTATTCAGCGGAAGCTCTTTATTCGAGGTCTTGGCCCGACTACAGCCACGGGTGGGAGGATGGGCGGCGAGGGTCGGGGGAAGATCGACGACCATCCGGCGAGGTGAAGTGAGTTCCGGTGAGATGCATCCAGTTGATAGGGTATGGTGGTTGGGGAATGGGAATGCAAAAGGTAGGGGGGTGGGAAATGGGTTTAGGAGATTTTTGGGTAAACCCAAAAATAAAATGGGGGAATGAGAATGACAAAAAAGTGAAAACAAACACTAACAAAGGGAATCCTTCCCATTCCCTTTCCCCATTCCAGCGAACCAAACGGCCCCTTAGATTTTGGAGTGCTTATGTTTTTTTTTTTCCTAATAAGTTTTTCTATTACTTATGTGTTATTTTTTTTCCTAATAAGCTTTTCTATTACTTATGTGTTATTCTTCATAACTTAGTTGATATTTTAAAATTAAATCAATACAATAACATATTCGATCAAAGCAATAACCCTCACATCTTACTAAATTTATTTCAGTGTAATACCTTCATTCTATAATACCGACACAATTAAACTTGAATACACTAGTTTGACACTTTGACTCTAAATATAAAAAAATATTCTTTCTTTCACATTATGCTTTATTTTTTTTTTCCTTACACCAATTCATTTTTTTGACTCTCTCCCTTTATTACTGGTTTATAAAATCATAATGAGTTGATTAATAAACAGAGGTAAGTATATGGAAAAAATTGACTCACTTGAAAAAACCTAATCTTAATTCAACATAATTCAAAAATAAAGAAAACAATATTCTAATACAAACACTAGCTAAACTCATTGATACACACATGACCCATAATTAAATCACCAAGCATGATAAGTACATTTAGATGAGAGGAAATAGATTAAAGGAAGACCGAGAAACTACCTTGATGAAACAATACTTAGATAAAAAAATAAAAAAAAATTTAAAGGTAAAAGATGAAGGAAAAAAAAAAAATTAAATGTAAATGTTGCCACGTAGTATTCTAATTTGTCTACAAAATTTCCTGTTATTAAATATTAGTATAGATTTTTTAATAATAAAATAATTTAACAATAGATTCAAGTATTAAACTAGGACCCGATTCAATCCGAACCATCTTAAAAAACATGTCGAGTCTCGATCCCCGACGACGACGGTGGATTTACCTAGCCTTAGTGGGACACCATCTTGTAACACATCTTCCCCTCTATTTCCCTCCCAAACTCATTTCTCCACTAACCCCCCTCACTTCCTTCTCCTCCCTCCTTCCCTCTTAAATCCCCCCATCATTTCCCCTCAAAATTCGTCATTCACTCCCTCTCTTCTCTCTCTCTCCTCCCTAACCCCGCCATTTCCATCGCCTTCAAGCTACAACAATGGCGGAACCCTCAGAAACCCCCCAAAACTCCGAACCCAAAATCAAAGTCGCCCTAATCACCGGAATCACCGGCCAAGACGGATCTTACCTCACCGAATTCCTCCTCTCAAAAGGTTACGAAGTCCACGGATTAATCCGACGATCTTCAAACTTCAACACCCAAAGAATCAATCACATCTACATCGACCCACACAATGCCAACAAAGCTAGGATGAAATTACACTACGCCGATCTCACCGACGCCTCTTCTCTTCGTCGTTGGATCGATACAATCGCACCTGATGAAGTTTATAATCTTGCTGCTCAATCTCATGTTGCTGTTTCATTTGAGATCCCTGATTATACTGCTGATGTTGTTGCTACTGGTACGCTTCGATTGCTTGAAGCTGTTAGATCTCATATTGCTGAAACGGGTCGGACCCATATTAAGTATTATCAAGCCGGGTCGTCGGAGATGTTCGGATCTACGCCGCCGCCTCAGGCGGAGGATACCCCGTTTCATCCGAGGTCGCCTTATGCTGTTGCTAAGTGTGCTGCTCATTGGTACACTGTCAATTACCGTGAAGCTTATGGTAATTTTTTAAACTTTTTTTGATGATTTTTGGAATTTTGTTTGTGGGTTTTTCTGGGTTTTTTGAATTGATGAGCTTATTGATTGTTTGATTGACTGAGAAATTGATGGCATTTTGTTTAATTGATTAAGAAATTGATGATGAATATTAGAGAAATGGAAATGTTATTTTTTAGTCTGTGGATAGGTATAGAAGGCAATGTTGTAGACGAGATTTGATCCGAGGTCTTGTGTTGTAATGGTCAATGGAAATGGTGGGAAGAATTAGGATCATTTGGGTTATAGGTGCTGTTTGGGTTGAGGCTTTAGTTTCTGTGCTGTTTAGAGAGCTATAAAAGACAATGTAGGTGACAAGATTTGATTCGATGTCTTGTGTAGTGTTGGTCAATGGAAATTGTGGGAGGAATTGGGTAAATTTGATTCTAGCTAGTAGCAACTATTTGGGTTGAGGGATTAGCTTCCATTAAAGACAATGTTGTAAAAAAGGTTTGATCTGAGGTCTTGGGTAGTAGTAATGGTAAATGGATTTAGTGGAAGGAATTGAGGATCAATGTGGTTTCTAGGTTTTTATGTGTGTTAAGCCGTTGAGGCATTATTGTTTGTGTTTTGATTAATTTGATATGAGTGGGTAGTGTACTTAAATTCTTTTGATTTTGATGATTGATCTCTCCAACTACATTGTTTCTGTGATGTAAAGGGTTATCTTGCTACTTTTTGCTGCTGGTTTCCAGTTTCATGATTAGAACTTTATAAACACACTTCATGATCTATTATTTTAAAATGTGGAAATGAATATGTTTTTTGTACATTTGAGCAAGATCTGGTACTTGTTCCTTTTGGTCAATGGATCCTTTAATCGATCATTGATCCGAATTCATTAATAAATCTCCAATTCTTGGATTGTCTTCTCTAGTTCTCGGGCTAATAGTCCTGTTCAAATCATAGGTTGTATGCATGAAAATGAACTTTTTTACTTTTTCCGTTTCATAGGTATTTTTGCTTGCAACGGCATTTTATTCAATCATGAATCACCACGAAGGGGAGAGAACTTTTAAAATTGTAAGATCATGATTAGAACTTTAAAAAACATGATTAGGACTTTATAAACATGCTTTATGATCTATTATATTAAAATGTGGGAAATGGAAACGTGTTTTGTGCATTTAAGAAAGATCTGGTTCTTGTTCCATTTGGTCAATGGATCCTACAGATTCCTCGAGAATCGAGTGTTTGGTGTACAAAAAATATGTAAGATGCATCATTTTTGCTTTCTCGAGCATATAGTCCTGGTTTTTTCGAATTGTAGGTTGTCTATTTGCAAATTATTACTTGTATTCTATTAAGATGACCTGGGTGATGGGCTGACTGTTTCAATTTGATGCTCCTTGCACTATTGAAGTGCTTGTGGCTACTCTTCATTGTGGCAGACTGGCAGTTCTTAGTAATGGTGAATAAACCTTTTTACTTGTTTCGTTTTGTAGGTATTTTTGCTTGCAACGGCATTTTATTCAACCATGAATCACCACGAAGGGGAGAGAACTTTGTGACTCGTAAGATCACACGTGCTGTTGGCAGGATCAAGATCGGGCTTCAGAGCAAGCTTTTCCTGGGTAATTTGCAAGCCTCAAGGGACTGGGGATTTGCAGGAGACTATGTTGAAGCAATGTGGATGATGCTTCAACAGGAAAAGCCTGATGACTATGTGGTGGCTACTGAGGAATCTCACAGTGTTGAGGAGTTCTTGGAAGCTGCATTCGGGTACGTAGGATTGAACTGGCGGGATCACGTGGTGATCGACAAGAGGTACTTTAGGCCATCTGAGGTCGACAATCTGAAGGGCGATGCCAGCAAGGCAAAGAAAGTCCTCGGCTGGAAGCCTAAGGTCGGGTTCCAGCAACTTGTGAAAATGATGGTTGATGAGGACGTAGAAACAGCAAAGAGGGAAAAGGTGCTTGTTGATGCCGGTTACATGGATGCTCAGCAACAACCATGATTGAGTTTATGGTACCATCTGATTCTCAAAGTTTTTAAATTACTCTATTGTGATTTAGTATACAGATCAAATCATAGTTTACTTTAAAGGTTGGCAATAAGTTATTAATTTGTTATAAAAATGTCCATTTTTTTTGTTCTTCTTTAGTGAGGCATCTTAAAAACCCCATGTTTCAACCCACTGACTGTCGGTGGGATACTTCCTTGTCATAGTTTATATCTCTTGTTGGCAATTTCACATTTACTTTTTGTTCCTTTTTTAGTTATTCAACACATTTTTTTTCATTTCATTGTCTTTTACTTTTCTGGAGATTGGATGGAGTGAGGGGGTTGTAACTTGTAACTACAGCTGTTTCATACTTGATTCAGGAATCTCTGTTGAAGTAACTATAATCATTTTCTTTTGACTGTCCAATAAAATATTCTTTGATTTGTCTAATAAATGCATTATTATACCGAGTAGTAATGAAAACGCAATTTTTGTCTGTCCTTTTCAATTCAACTCTCTTCCCTCTTTTGAACTGTCTTGATCTCTTGCGTTCGCTGTCTATGCACACACATGCTGCGTAAATGAATGCGCCTGTTATGGATCTCATCATGCTCTATGCCAGGGCCTATAAAGTTGACTCGATTTCGTCGGATGTGTTGGTACGGGCCACACTTTGGGCTGAAATTTCAACCCATATATGCTGGTTAATTGGGCCAATTTTGAAGGTGCTTTCGGACGGGCCTATAGACTCGATCACCAAAAAATTGCGCCTGACCCTGATTGAATCAGACTAGGCCGTGCTTGATTACTCTAATGATCTAATCGGTTGTGCTTATAACATTTGTATTTGTTGATTGAATGTTTGGTATCATAGAGTTGTAAAATTCTAATAAGAAGATTGTTTTGCTATAAAATGCCCAAGTTCTATGTACAATTACAAATAGCGAAAATACGAAATGTTCATCAATCATCATAATGCACTACGAAGTAATCTACATAGAAATAGTATAATTTTACATAACAAAGAATATTAATTCACCGAATCTCCAGTATTGTCCTGCAAATTCATCTGGTTTGTAGTAGAAAAGAATTCTGAGGCCAGAAAAGTTTAGTTGTTACAGGCTAAGCAAGACAAAAACTTGCTTTTCAGTGATCTGCGAGTGTTCTTAGATGAACCCACATCGATGATCGTGGATTCATCAGCTCCTCGCTTCCTGGCTTCATCACACTCGTGCAAGAAAATCTCCCATGCTTCTTGCACATATTCAGCTGCTTCTTTAACTGTCATATTCTCAACTAAAGCATATGGGTAAGTGTCTTTCTTGTGATCGCCTTTTAAGCAAGCTGCCATTTGCACCAACTCTGCTTGGAAATCAGACAATTGCTTTTCTTCCAACGCTGAAGTTGCTCTCAATTTAACTGGCTCCGGCAAAGTCTCTGTATTTATCCAAAATAGTCTGACAAATTCAACGATTTTTTTTTAAAAAAATTTCTTCACTAAAACGTTGATGATTTAGCACATGTTTTAGGAGTAATCAAATACGGTTTTGTATGCATATCAGTTGATATTAAATCATGTTAGCCGCCTAGCTTTCTACTCCGTAATAGTTAGGCTTGATTCTCTTCACCTGATATTTTCTAGGTGTACCTGAACTTTTACGAACTTGTTTTACTTGTGGGTATTCAATAATTAAACATATACAGTATGAACTTTTACGGATGTTTTTTGGAATAAGAAAAATTTCTATGAAGTGAACAGAGAGCTTAAATTTACCTGGGCAATCAGTTCTTGGAGTTTTTCTGCTGACTACACCCTAAAAAGTGCCAGCCCATGCATCGCGTTTAGTTAAAAACTCTTTCAGGTTGAAGATCTTCTTGACAGTTGCTGGAATTGAAGAATGTTCATATTCTGATGTAGGATATGGCCCTGAAGGTCCATGTAACACTGCATTTCCCAACTTATGTTAGTCAAGAATATCGACGAACAGAGCCCAAAAAAAAATAAAAAATAAAAAGGTACCTGTTCCAGGTTCAATCCAGGGAGAGATCATGATAGTTGGAACCCTAACACCAAGACGATCAAATCCAAAGCTATATGGTTCAGGACCAACAATGCCATCAGGGCTAGGAACCCCTTCCACGGGGGTGGGAACATGATCGTAGAAGCCTCCATGCTCGTCATATGTGATTATAAACAACATTTCGTTCCACTGAGGACTTGATCTCAATGCTTCATAAACTTCCTTGATGAACTTCTGACCTACTGAAACATCATGAGATGGATGATCATCATTTCCTGGAACTGCTAGCAAGTCGAAATATCTTTGTTCAATCACCACATAATTTGGTAGCTTCCCTTCCTTGCAATGTTTCTTGAATTCTAGATCAAATTGGTGAAAATGTGGCACATATTTCAGCTTCCTAAGATTACTGCCAATAACAGAGAAAAAAGGTTTATACTAAGGTGGCAAACAATTTGTTTGGATCAAGTGAATTCAATTCGGGTGATGAGTGGCTGTATACCTGTAGAACAAGGTGGCAGGAGGGTACTGAAAATATATACCGAAAGAGAGACCAGCCTCATCTAGGGACTCGAATATGGTCTTCTGAGGCAACCCTGCAATGAGCTTCCCTGTATCATTACTTGTTAAACCGTGTGAGGTTGCTGAGTGCACGTACAGCCTATTCGGCTGTGTGGATGCAGGGACTGATGCAAACCACCTATCACAAACTGCAAACTGGGTTACTAACTCCTTGTAAACAGGTGCACGATCCGGCTTGAATCCGTTCATCACGGCATCCTCCATCCCACTTTGCAGCCTGTTTGCATTCTGTGCAAATCCTTGCATTGTTGGGGCCTTCTTCTTCTGTGCTGATTCTTGGTTCCATTGCTCACCAAATACCTGCTCAATACACAATTCTTATAATTACAGTTACTTCATTTTGTGCAAAAAGTCATAGCGTTTCACTTAAAAATATTGATTAGTTTTAAGTCTTTACCTATTCGTAAATGTCTTGGATGGAGTGGCCAGGGTCAGGGTCGACGTACACAGACCCATCCCCAAATTCAATCCTTTTGGAGTTAGGATCCGATGTATCCAAGGGGTTCGACTCCTGACCCGTGACACCGTTTATTTCAGGGTTGATCCTCTTCATCCATCCGAGCATGTGGTCAAATGACCTATTCTCTTGCACCAACACCACCACTGTCTTAATCGGATACATGCTACTTCCGCCGCTAATTTGGTCACTACCCATACCTTAAAAGTAACTCTTAACAAATTTGAATCACTCCTTTTTTGCTCCTTTTCTATGAGTAATGTTGTTAATGTGTCAAGGAAAAGAAAGGAAAAAACGGAAGAGTTTATAAAGAGGAGTGATTGCCTAGCTTAGCTTGTTATTGAAGGTACGTGCTTAAATTTGATTTCTTATGGGACTTGACGTAATAAATTGAGTGTATTTGTAAATTTGTACAATTATATTTTTCTGAAAATTGTTAGCTTGCGTACCAAAATATACATAACAATATGGAGTATATAGTATGGTGTATTAATAAATAACAATAATATACACGAATAAGTCCAATATTATTGGTTCTTTGGTTAAATTCTGTTGTAGTTTGTAACAAATAAACAATCTTGTTGCACCCACCTTAGTTGCATTTCGTAGGCAAAGACAACTATAGTATATTAGTATGGGATCGTGCAAAGTTTTCTGCAGCATAACAGAAAAGAGAGATGCATTTTGAGGCTTTTGTTGGTTGTTAATCGACGATTGTGAAGAATGGCCGACCTAACTCGTGCATAACGGAAAAGAGAGATGCATTGTAATGTACTATTTGTACCTCTAGGATTAGCTATGTTCGACCGATCTTGAACTTTCTACTCCGATATATTACACCGTGAGATTGAACATATTTTTATTCCTTTCTCATCTGAAATAAGTTCATATCAACTTAAATAAGTTAAATTGAACATCGTCTAACTTAATTGGCATAACTAATTAATGCATCAATTTTAAAAAAATTCCATTATTTACATTTTCAATATTAAAAGTCCTCCAACATGGTTCAACCATTATATAACAAAATAGAATTAAGGCACAAAATTCAAAGCAAGGTTCAAGTAACAGTTAGAAAATATATGTTCCTCTAGCATATTCCTTAGATTTAGCGTGCAATGATTAAATACACTAATAGGCAAGAAAGTGTTGAAGGATAGTCTTCATTTTAGTCATTATCATTTTCTAACACTTGGATCATTTTAAGAGGTAAGTTGGCAACATCAATTTTTCTATTAGTGGCTATATTCACAAAAACAATTTAGTAGTAGCATTTTATATAATTTAGTTGCAATTTTTTTCACGTTTTTTAATTTCACAGAAGTCTAATTTTATTGTGTACGTTGGAGTGTAGTTAACCACAATACCACATTCTTATTACTAAAATCACCTAGAGAACAAGTAATTGACAAAAGGAGTAAACCGTGGGGAGGGAAATTAATTATACTCTGTAATATTTTTAAAAAAAATTTCAACATCAAAATTATCTTGTTTGCCTCCAAAACCCGTCACCATTGGGTAAAAGAAGATGGATGGATAGATGCATGCAACTTTACTCTTCTAAGATTTTTGGCATATGTGTTTATATTATTTGATTAAAATAAAAACTCGTAGTGATTACATGTTACTCTATACAAAACTAAAAATTAATTTAAATTTTGTCGTCGGTTTATATCATTTAAAATTATTTAAATCCAAATCAAAGCACGTTGATGTTAGTCAATGTAATTTGACAATAATTACCACTTAATTTAAATTTTATCCAAATTATTGGACAAGAGAACACAATTCAACCTAAACACCAAAAAGGTCTTTCTTGGCATCCTTGCTTTTAGTTTATTGTTATACACCTGATTTTTTAAGCCATACGGTATAAAAGTTGTTAAGATGAATACTAGTATAAAAATCTTGTTTATTTGTGGAAACATCTACTATGCTCTCATAAGTTCAACTATAATCACCCATAAATAAGTACAATGTTCCTCTCCTATTCAACTAAACGTTGCACTATATATATAGTACATAATAAAAACTTATTCAAAATAGCCTTAACAACTTTGCTTTGCTTTACATTAATAATTGTAATTGCAATTGCACTTTTACATAAATTGCAACCCCGAATTATTGGTTGTAATAGGGAATTTGGAAAAAGAAAGTATTTGATTTTATTATGTGTCTCAATATCAATTAAAATGTCTCACGTTCAAAAACTTCAAACACATAAGAGAAATTCATGGATCTACCATCATCATTGCTTATGCATATGTTGAAAGTTAACTTTTAGTACGTCACTCACATTGCTGAACAAAACACCAAGACTCCAAGAGAACAAATAATTTGGATAAAAGAGTTAATTGTATATACAGTGGACGGAGAAAACACTCAAATAAAAACACCCAAATTAGTAGAACATAATTACATGATCATTTCCTTTAAAGAAGTTTCCTTAGCTTAATTGTTGTTGCAGGCCAAGCATGAAAAAACCTTATGAACAAGCGATTTTTCGTCCTTCTCCTTACTAGGAATGCCTTGTTCTTCATTGCTTCCGATGTCAATGACTGTGTCTTCATCGACTCCATCAAGCCTTGCTTTCTCACATTCTTGTAAAAAAAGCTTGAAGGCTTCGTTGCAATAGTCAGCAGCATGAGCAACATTCATTTCCTCAACTAATTTGTTTGGATAAGTGTCTTTTTTATGGTCTCCTTTTAAGCATGCTGCTAGTTGTACCATTTCTCCTTGAAAGTCTGATAACTTCTTGTGTTCTCTTGCCTCAAAGTCTCTAAGCCTCACCGGCTCTGGCATTGTAACTACATACATACATGTCGAGTGTGTAATTAGTTGATTGTGATAAAAATTGTACTCTCGGAGGATTTTCTATACAACTGTTGCACCACATTAGCAGTATATCTATACTCAATGCCGTAAGTAATAATAAGTACCTGGGCAGTCAGTTCTAGGGGTGGTTCGGTTTAAGACAACTTCGAAAGTCCCAGCCCATGCATCGCGTTTGGTAAGGAAGTCTTTCAAGTTGAAAATCTTCTTAACAGTTGCTGGAATTGAGGAGTGCTCAAATTGGGATGTTGGTTGTGGTCCTTTAGGAGCATGTATCACTGCATTTCCCATTTCCACATAACTTATGTTATTACCTTACCAAGAATCATTAAAACAATACGGAATATCATATTAGGAAACTCTTTTCACGAGGAAAAAACATAACACATCTAGCAAAAGGATTAAAAAAAAAAAATAGAGGACTAGTAGCACCTGTGCCGGGTTGGATCCAAGGCGATATGAAAATGGTAGGAACCCTAACACCAAGTCGATCAAACTTGAAATTATACGGGGCTGGACCGTTGATATCATCAGGGCTAGGTACACCTTCTACAGGGGTAGGAACATGGTCAAAGAAACCACCATGCTCATCATATGTAATTATGAACAACATTTCATTCCATTGAGGACTTGATCTTAATGCTTCATAAACTTCTTTGACGAATTTTTGACCTATTGAGACGTCATGGGATGGATGATCATCGTTCCCTGGCAATAATTTCAAGTCCAAGTATCTTTGTTCTATTACCACATAGTTTGGTAGCTTTCCTTCCTTGCAATGTCTCTTGAATGTAATATCGAATTGGTGAAATTTTGGTATATACTTCAATTTTCTTAGGTTCCTGAACGACAATAAATATATACAAGTATGTTGTTAGTCCATGGTCTCGACCAATGATAAGTTGTCAGTCTTGTCACGTTAAATTTTAAAGATTCCTTGTGTTAGTTATAATTGATTATGAATGACGTGTTAAATTAGTCCTGATAGATCAAATTTATTTTCAATAAGCGTCACTCATATAATAGTTATGGTTACCTGTAGTAAAGAGTGGCCGGAGGGAGTTGATAATAAATACCAAAACTATGACCAGCCTCATGCAATGAATCAAATATGGTCTTTTGAGGCATTCCTGCCTTCAACTTTTTGCTATCATTGCTTGTTAAGCCATGAGATGTAGCTGAGTGGATGTATTGCCTATTTGGTTGTGTGGAGGCAGGGATGGAAGCGAACCACCTATCACAAACCGCAAATTGGCTTACCAGTTCTTTATAAACTGGTAAAAGTTCGGGTTTGAACCCATTCATCACGGCCTCATCCATTCCGGATTTGATCCGATTTGCATTCTGTGCAAATCCTTGCATTTTTGGGGGTTGCTTCTTTTGTGCTGATTCTTGGCTCCATGGCTCTCCAAAAATCTAAACATTGATTTTTCTAAAATGGTAAAAAATCCGGTCTATGTAGTCAATGAGCCTAGAGTTTATCATAGCAAAATATTATACTAATACATATATATATATTAGACGATCAGACAAGGTATTAGTTACTTTAAAATAATTAAAAGTTAAGAAAACCTCACATTGGATAACCAACTGTCATAAAAAAAATTCCTACTTTTTCCAAAAACAGAATTGATGGTTTTAAAATTTATCAATTTAATTTTTTTCATTAAAGAAGATCAACTACCTTTCCGAAATTTCTGAATAAAAGTAGACAACCTCACAACCCTAGATTAACTACCTTAACAATATATATCAACTTCTGTTCGCCTGTTTCACTTACTTTGAAGTCACATCACCTCCTCTATGAATCTATGATCATGATTGGCTAACAGAGTTGGAAGTTTTATTTGTAGTTCTTATTTTAAGGAAAATTTCATAAAGTAGTTAGGCCAACTAATTACAATATACGCCTTAATAAACCTGTAGTCTTAACCATCAAAACTACTATATAATGGAGTAGAAAAAACCAAATTGTGCAATTTTTAATCGTACAAGGGTGCATAGTGACCCTTCAGAGAAGAAGTTCAAAATCAACACTGTAAAGACTTTGAATACGTTTAGACCCAAAAGAACATCACGCATCTCTTGTGAGTGTGCACTGTACATGTTAATGCCTGTGCACGTCGTGTGTATAAGGTGTATGATGGTGCTTATATAACTAATGTATTGTACAAGTATCTAAATTTGGTTGAATCTAACATTGACATGATTATAGATCCTAGCTTAAAAATATTTCTAATTTAAGTAAAGTCAAATTAAACGCTACAATTATATTTACGTATGTATCTTATTTTCCTTTTCTTTCAGATTCCCTCGTTATGACAAATAAATTAAAACTTCATTTCCATCGAAATAGAGATTTTTCATCTAAATCAAACATGTACCACTTTAATGCCAAAAATGGAATGACATATCCCCTTAAACTTTCTTTCTTCTTCCCACTTTATCAAAATTGAAAATTCTATAACGATCAAACTAAACACCTACACAAACAATATAGTCATAACCAATAACAATTCACCCCATACATACCTGTTCATAGATGTCTTGAATGGAGTGACCCGGGTCAGGATCGACATAAACGGAGCCATCACCAAATTTGATACGGGCAGAATTCGGATCCGAAGTGTTCAAAGGAACGGACTCATGACCCGTGACCCCGTCAATATGAGGGTTGAGTAGCTTCATCCACCCAAGCATATGATCAAATGATCTATTCTCTTGAACCAACACCACAACTGTCTTAATTGGATACCCTTTACTCTCATTTTCACCTTCAAACATTGCTAATTCGCCTTTCATTTTCTCTCTATCTCTTAATTAGCAAAGGCTAAGTTTCAAGTTGTGTTTCTAATGAAGTTGAGTAGCGTATATATGTTACTATATATACATAAGAATATAAGCAATCAAGTTAGTTAGTTGTGGGTGCGGGGGCTTTGTAATGTCTTAGCTAGCCTATCTTCCTTGTAGAGCTTACGTTACCAAATGCCCAAGCAATGCTCTTTATGTGCATATTTTGTTATGTTACTGTTTGGGTCCAATTTAGTCCAATTGGGCTTAGGCATTAAATGATCTAATTAAAAGCCCAAGGTCAAGGTTCATCTCTCCAATTGTGCTAAAGTCAAAGATCAGTCCTCAAGGTTAGCCAATTGGGCTAAGGCCCAACTTCTCCATGTATGCAGAGGTATAAAAGCCATCAATATTACATTTGTACATTCATTCAAGAAAAGCCTCAAGCAACAAATTCTCTTGCATAGTGTTCTCTTTCTACGCACTGTACTGACTTTAGCATCGGAGGGGCCTTCCTCGGCAACACCCCCGAGGCTAGTTTACGTGTGTTTACTGTGCAGGAAACCTTCGGCCCAACATTACTTGGATCGAATCTAGTCTTCTCCACTTCATCGGACCTTCGACAAGGTCCCATTGTTTTCACCCGAAACAATTTGGCGCCGTCTGTGGGGAGGACTTTCAAAAATCTTTAAGCCAAATTTCTAACCAAGATCATCTTGCAATTATCTTAGTAGCAATGGCTAAGAACCGCAAGAGCAAAGGTCTCCGTCAAGGAGCGGGCGAAAAGCCTAAAACCCCTACACCATCACCCTTGCCGGACCGGAACTCTCCCAAGGGTGCCAGCTCGGGGGGAGGATCATACAGGGAGGATTCCCTTTCTCCCGTAATTCATAACTCTCATCATAGGCCGAGTCACTCTCGGTCTAGCAGGGGTGAGTCCGATCATAGGACACATGCAGTGCCCCAAAGCCAACCATCGACTGTGTGCCCTCATTCCCATACTCGGCCGAGGACCCCTTTGACGGGCCCAGCTCGGAGGAGGTGGCAAGAGCGCTGGCAGTGCTCATGGAGGCAATGAGGGCACAAAATATGCCACCACCTCGTGATCGAACTCCTCCGTATACCCGGCATCAACGGAGGAAGCTAGACCATGATGGTGGGAAGCTTCCTTCCTTCCGGGAACTGGAAGAGTGGGAAGAGGATACCTGGAAAAATGAAAAAGAGAGGAAAAAGAACCCTCAATTTTTCAAAGGATCCTCATCCTCCCGACCAGAAACGCATAAGAGCAGCAACTCAGCTTCTCGGCCAGAATCCACTCACCGAGAACAACCTGAGACTGTTCGCCGAAGCGTCCTCGACTGACTCGACGGCAAGGAACCGAGCGTGCACAGTCGCCTCTCGTTCCCTGCGGCCGAGGCCCAAACTTCCCAGCCAGGGACGAAAACCACTCCTACCTCTCTAAGAGGGCGGAGCGCGGTCCCTTCGGCCAGGAACAAGGGCAAGGCCGTTATGCTACCCGCCAGTTCGCCATTCGAGCAATGGATACTGGAAGAGCACGTGCCCACGGTTAAAATACCGTCGCACATCACATATGACGGGACCTCGGATCCGAAGGATCACGTGGCCTCGTATGAGACTCATATGCATCTTTGCCCCAGATCCGAAGCGACTTGGTGCAAATATTTCCCAACCACTCTCAAGGGGGTCGCACAAGCGTGGATCTCCAAGGGAGTAAAGCAAGGCTCCATAACAGGGTGGGATGATCTGTCCTCCAAGTTTAGGAGCAAGTTTTCCACGGCAAACCGCCGAGAGAAGACTACTGCAGAACTCATGAGTCTGCAACAGGGGGAAACCGAAAGCCTCCGAGACTATCTGACCCGTTTCAGTAACGAGTCATCCAGCGTCTCTCAGCTGGACCAGGGGCTAGCCGTTTTTGCAAAAGCAGAATGACCTTCAGCCCGGGAAGTTCCTAGACTTCATGGTCATGCATACCCCGCAGACCTTGGAGGAAGCTCTGAATGCCTCGGATAAGTTCATCCGAGCCGAAGAATGGAACAAAGCGAAAACCCAACCTCAATTTGGGGAGGGAAACAAAGACAAATACCCTTGTCTGAAGGCCAAGGCCATAAGGCAAAGGGAAAGTCAAAGGCCTCGGAGCAATCTTCGGCCAGCGACCCAAAGAAGGAAAAATCTGCCTCATACACAGGCAGATACGAGTCCTACACTCCGCTCTCTCTTCCACGCGCCAAAATTTACAGCGTGACGAAGGAGGAGCAGAGTTACCGAAAGCCGAGACCACTCCCAGAGTGGTATCAGCGAAAAAATAAAAATCAGTGGTGCGAGTTCCACGAGTCTCCGGGACACAACACTGAGGAGTGTATCCAACTGAAGGACCAGATAGAGGACATGGTCCGGAAGGGATACTTGAAAAAATATATTGCGGATCACCGCGAGAAAAAAGAGTCCGAGAAGTCAGCAAAGGACTCCCGGCAAGACCTCGACTTCCCCCGGAAGAACAGTAAAAAATCGGAGGGGAAATTCTCTCCGATCAATGTTATCTCGGGAGGAATATGCTCTCGGAGGGAGCACAAGCGACACCTTAGGGCTTTGACTCACCAGGTGAACAACGCTGACATTCAGTCTCCCCAATCGCCGGTGCCGAACATGACGTTCACAGCCGCCGACTGCCGGGGGATAACGTTCCCTCACGAGGATCCGTTGGTGATCATCGCCACGGTGGCCAACCACGACGTCAGTAAGGTCCTTGTTGACGGTGGCAGCGGAGCAAACATTCTGTTCCGAAAGGCCTACAATCAAATCAAGCTAAAGCCCAAGCACCTTACGCCGGTACCCTACCCGGTATCCGGGTTCAACGGGGCTTCAACTTATCCAGATGGGAAGGTGACACTTCCTATCACCATCGGCTGCGATGAGGCAGCCAGGAACGTCATGATTGAATTTTTGGTCATTGACGCTCCTTCAGTGTACAACGTGATTTTGGGGAGACCCATAATTCATGAGATCCAAGGGGTCGTCTCAACTTATCATCAGCTGATGATTTACGTCTCAGACGCTGACTTCCCCGAAAGGATACAGGGCAACCAAAAGGACGCCCGAAGGTGCAACTACCTCAAGCCATCCAGTAGTCGCCCAGATGACGACAAGGATGAGGAGGAGAAAGAAAAAGAAAGAGAGCCAAGCACAAAAAAGCCGAAAGGCCTAAGTGTTTCGGCCCAAGGATTTGTACCCAGAGGTAAAGGGCCCGAAAGGGAAAAGGCTAGCTCTTCAGCTGAACAGCAAGACTCAGAGAGCCAGCCGAAGAACAAAAAGACTGGGACACCTGCTGACATAGGCAACAGGCCAGATTATGAAGAGTCCAGTCCATCAGCAATGGACATGGACCAACAGACTGAAGCAGTTGAGTTGGCCGAAAGAGACGTTGAGAAATGTGTAACAATCGGGATGGACCTTGATCCGAATACCCGTTGTGAACTTATTCAGCTCCTTCGGGACAACAGAGATGTGTTTGCTTTCTCGGCAGCTGATATGCCCGGGATAAGTCCAGACCTCATCTCCCATAAGCTTAATGTTGACCCAACGTGTCGACCAATTAAGCAAAAGAAGCGGAATTACTCCGCTAATAAGAACCGAGACATCGCAGCCGAGGTCAAAAAATTGTTGGAGTCAGGCTTCATCGAACCTTGCCAATATCCAGAATGGCTGGCAAATGTGGTGATGGTTCAGAAGGCCAATGGTACCTGGAGGATGTGCGTTGACTTCACGGACCTAAATAAGGCTTGTCCGAAGGATTTCTATCCCTTGCCGAGGATCGATCAGCTAGTCGATTCGACAAGTGGCCATGCCTTGCTTAGTTTCATGGACGCATTCTCGGGGTATCATCAGATCTTCATGCACCCCGACGATCGAGCAAAGACATCATTCGTCACGAACGCTGGGGTGTACAATTACAAAATGATGCCCTTCGGATTGAAAAATACGGGGGCAACCTATCAAAGGCTGGTGGATCAAGTTTTTGCCGATCAAAAGGGCCGAAACATGGAAGTCTATGTCGACGATTCGATCGTCAAAAGCAAAAAACCTGAGGACCATGTTAAGGACCTGGCTGAAACTTTCGCCACCTTAAGAAAGCATCAAATGAAGCTGAATCCGAAGAAGTGTGTCTTCGGCGTGAAGTCAGGGAAATTCCTTGGGTCCATAGTCAGCAAAAGGGGGATTGATGCCAATCCCTCCAAAGTCAAAGCAGCGCTCGACCTTCCTGAGCCGAAAACAAAGCGGGATGTTCAGCGGCTCACCGGAAGAATGGCAGCCCTCTCGAGGTTCATTTCCAGAGCTTCGGATAAGGGGTTACCTTTCTTCAAAGCCCTGAAACTCCCGAAAACAAAAGAGCTCGTTTGGGAGGAAGAGCAAAAAGACGCCTTTAAACAGCTTCGGGAGCATCTGGCTCAACTCCCAACGCTGCCTAGCCCAGCAGAAGGAGAAACTTTGTACCTGTATGTGGCTGTTAGCCCAGCCACCATCAGTGCAGTACTGCTGAAGGAAGAAAGTAAAAGTCAGCAACCGATCTACTTTGTCAGTCATACACTGACGGATGCCGAGACTCGCTACCCTCTACTCGAGAAAGTCGCTTTCGCGGTAGTAGTAGCTGCCCGGAAGCTGAGGCCCTATTTTGATTGCCATCAGATAGTGGTCTTAACTGATCAGCCGTTGGAAAAAGTTCTCGGCAAGGTTGAAAAATCTGGTAGGCTAGCCAAGTGGGCTTTTGAGCTCACCGAATTCAGCATCAGCTACCGTCCGAGGGCTGCCATTAAGGCTCAAGCTCTAGCGGATTTCTTGGCCGAATGCTCATACCAAGAAGCGCTAGACAATGAAAAGAAAGTCTGGACCGTGTTTACGGATGGATCTTCCACCGAAAACGGTTCGGGGGCAGGAGTAGTGATAACTTCTCCCGAAGGCAAATCCTTTGAGTATGCACTAAAATTTTCTTTTAAGGCCTCGAACAACGAAGCCGAATATGAGGCAGCAATCGCCGGCCTAGAATTGTGCATCTCCCTGGAAGCCGAT